TCGGTGGTGTCTTTTCATGAACTCGGACTTGCCCCTGTCTCTTATACACATCTAGATGTGTATAAGAGACAGCACACACACACACACACACACACACACACACACACACACACACACAGGACAGAATACTGACCACGAAAGGTGCAACCTTGAGCTGGCTGATGACGCAGGCAACTGTCTCTGAGTCAGCAATGGTGACCAGGCGATGGCCCAGCTGGTAGGTCGCCATTCCTCAGCATCGCTTGTCCCTGCTCCGCTATCTCCTAACTGCAGTGCTAATCCTATCGCTGACGTCCTCTAATGCTGCTCAAGCAGCATAACGCCGTGGTTAACTCTAACTGATGTTGGACCCAGCTAATAACAGTGTTGGGTCTACCAGTCCTAGGGGCGGCCTGGATTCAGGGTCATCCGATCTAACGAACGATCGATGGTGCTGGATGCAGGCTATGAAACGGGTCCAGCTACTGGGCCTGAAAAATGCGGCCTCCCTAGTGCTGCAAAATGACAAACTGGGCTGAACATCAGAAAAGCGGTTCAGCCCAAAACCTACAGCTGCAGGCCTAAGTGTGCTCGCTGGGCCTAAAGACAATGGCATGGACCAGAACCACTAGTGGTTAACGGGTCCTCCAATTTTCAGATCTGAAACAAATGAAGTGCATTTCAAATATGAAAAAGAGTGTTGTTTTAAAGGTGATTTTCATGTCTGAATGTGGGATTTTCAGAGGTGAGGGTTCTCTGAAACCTGGCTTTTCTATTTTTTGCAAGTTTTTATTTCTTAAGAAATTTTCACCCGTTTTGTTTTTTTTTAAATTGCCATCTAAGCATCAAACATTGGTCCGAAACGGCTGAAGTGACTGAACCTTCTGAAATCCATTTCAGCTGCCCCCACCAAAGCATCAATCATCGATTTGAAATCGTCGAAATGACCTGATGTGGTTGAAACTTCTAAAAGCCGTTTCAACTGCACCCATCTTTGATGCTTGGATAGGGACACCGGGAACCGATTTCGAAAGGCTCAGCCTCTTCAGGCCATTTCATCAGTTTCAGGTGGGAAGACCTGAAACCGCTGAAGTGGTTGAAGCTATTGAAACCGCTTTCAGGTTCCCTCATCCAAGCACCCAACACCCATTCCCCAGTGATGACCTGAAGTGGCTAAACCTTCTGAAACCGCTTTCAGCTGCCCCGACCAAGCATCAATCATCGATCTGAAACCGTTGAAATGACCTGAAGTGCCTGAAACTTCTGAAAGTTCTTTCAGTTGCACCCATCTCTGATGCTTGGATGGGGGCAGTTGAAACCGCTTTCAAACGGTTTAAGCACTTCAGGTTATTTCAACAATTTCAGGTGGGAGACTTGAAACCGATGAAATGACCTGAAGTGGGTAAAGCTTATGAAATGGCTTTCAGGTCCCCTTCCATCCAAGCCTACAACGTCCGTCTGAAACCGTGGTGATGACCTGAAATGTCTGAAGCTTCTTAACCTGTTTTCAGTTCCCTCCATCAAAGCCTACAACACTTGTTTGAAACCATGGTGATGACCTGAAGTGACTGAAGTTTCTAAAACCTGTTCCAGGTCCCTCCATCCAAGCATCCACGATCGGTCTGAAGACTCTAAAACTGTCGTACCGACCTGAAACCATTGGGAATATAAGGGGACCTGAAAATTGTGCACACATTAACCATCTCTCACCAGAACTGGTCCGAGTGACACATCCGCACTGGGCTGAACAGACATGACAAATCCCAAACCGGACACACCTGGGAACCAGCAAAAGAGCGGAATGGAAATCTAAAACAAACAGACCAAAATGACACAATCCCCCAAACAAAACCCACACGCCCACAATACCCCTACCTGGGCCTTTAAGGCCAAAATAGACAACTGGGCACGATGGGCCGCTGTGGTATCCGAGGATTCCACAAGCTGTGTGATATACATGTACTAAGCACGCTATTGCAGCTATTCCAACTGACGCAAGGGAGATTATACCTAGCCTATGTGGGCTGGATGGTACACACATGTACTGTTGCTACACAGATCATCAGTTTGGATCCTGATGGGGAATCGCATCAGAGGAATGCACTGATATTAGGGGTTGTATGGTACACATGTACTGAATCGCGGTATTGCAGGTAATACAATTGACGAAAGGGATATCTTCGGGAATTTGATAACTTGGAAAATGGAGCTGGAACTACTACCGTCTTCACCCGAATAGAACACCCGGTCATTATAGCCGTATTTGGTGCACTTTTCAGTTCAGATACAGCTATAACAACCGGGCGTTCTATTCGGGTGAAGACAGTAGGGTACCTTGCCGCGATGCTGGAGAGAGCACTTGACACAACTGGAAGAAAAAAAAAAAATGCACCCACCAACACAAACTGGAAAATGATCGAAACCCTTTTTCAGCAAGAAGTGACCAGGTGACAGAGCAGTTAGGACCTTCCTGCAGACTGTCACGGGAACAGGTATAGTGAAATAGGGGCCTACTCCACTACACAACACTAAGTGTATCTGGTCCTCATAATCGTCCCGATACATTCAAACCGTTGGACTCCTGCGTATGAGATTATTGAGCACATCTTCTTTCGATGTCCCAGGGCAATCTTGACCTGGCGGTGGTGGGTCCAGGTCTGGCAGCAGCTGGAAACAGGCTGCGAGTGGCCCTGGGAATGGCGGGTGCTGCTGTGTGGCCACTGGGCGGCCCAAGCCAATGTCTTCACAAGGAATTTGTTCGGTCTAGCAAGGAAAGCAGTCCTTCGGGCCTCATGGTGGCATCGCTGCACCCTAGCCATCGAGGAAGTGCATGCTAGGGTCCAGGAAATGACAGACATGATCCAGGGTGAAATCAAAACAGAAATCAGGGCCCAGTGGTCAAGAACCCAAAAGAAACTGCCGAACCTATCTCAAATTATGTCAGAGCTCTGCAAAGAATGGTTTGGGACGAAACGGGTGGAGTGGGGCTGATGGCAGAATGAAGATTAGCAAGGAACCTACCCCAAGGACTACCGGCTGCGCTTCAGGAAGTGGATGCAGGTCGGGGCCAACATCCTGCTACCCCCCCAAGAGAACTTATTCCCACGACGTCATGACACCTTGATCAATCTGGAATGGTTCCGCTGCTAGGGTCGTTGTTTCTCTGTGTCAGGGGCCCCCAGTTGCCCCAGGGGAACTCCTGAACAGTGCCATGTCACATCTTAAGCTGAAGCCCGGTAATGGCCCCAGTCATCTCTCTGTAAAAAAAAAAAAAAAAAGGAGAAAAAGAAAACTGCGGCGCGAACATGTGTAACCACTGCCTTTTCCTATCGTCTCCCGATGTCCTCGCAGGAACCAAATAATGACGATTCCTCGACAACGGCGCCTCCTTCCTTCTACGAACAAAGCTGCAAGTGAAAACATCTCGCAGAGACACTGTGGCTGCCAGCCAATACCAGTCGAGCACCTCCTTACTCATGACATCTGCTTCCATCAAGCCCAAGCACCACTTCGTTTCCGCGTACAGCTCCGCTGCTATGGGTGCCGCCACATGGCGGTGTACAACAACTCGACAGTCACCCCTCCACTGTGTGGGCGGTGCAGAACTCCATGAAGCGCTACGCTGCTGCCAGCCGCGCCTTGACGATCCGTCCACTCCCTAAGATGTCTTTCCTGGCAAGGAGACGTTGGCACTGACCACTGGGAACACACGGTGAGATGCCAATGTTTTATCCTCGAATTACAAGTACGTCCAAAAGTTGCGGCTGCATGTGCGACGTGACTTGCTGGGATGAATGGGCCGGGGCTCTGGATTGAATTCATTCAAGCGGAAACGTCACAACACTCTAGGAAAGGCTACCTGCATGCATGTCGCGACTTCCGGAAGTACTGGTGGTTCAAGCTTCCAAGTTGCTCATTTGTCTTCAAACTCATCATTTGCATGATACTGATCGTTGTTGAGTCACCCCTACTGCCTTCTTATGTCATGGTTGCCAGAACATGGGAAGACGGGAAGATACACTGCCATATTTTTTATCTACTATCTTTCCATGTTCTTTTTTTTTTTTTTTTTTTAAGTAAAACAGGACCTTACGATCCTGGCTCCTTTTCCATTCTGGGGGGCGTTGACAATTTCCACAGATTAAAAGACATCCGGGAACGGCTACTACAGTTCTCTAGGGAATGGTTGGGCGGGAACCGGGAGGGATGGGTAGCGGAAGTGTGCTGGACAGGGAAGTGGGAAGGAGACAAGGGAAGGGATGGCAGCCAAGGAGAGGAAGTCCCAAGGGATTACCGCCTGAGATTCAAGGAGTGGCTGTCAATAGACTCTAGCATCCCCATGAGACCGGCAGAGGAGTTTCCAGACCCGTTCCCCCCCACCCAAGGTCCCTGGAAATATGTTTGTAAGTCCCTACCCAGTGAAATCCATGAATCCTCAGAATCCAATCTTCTGTTCTATTTTGCTTCAGTTTGTAAAGCTTCCAATCTTCTGACTTATTCTGTTCCATTCTCGAACCAGCATTCTGACGCAGTAAGGGCGGGTGGTAGCCGGGTACGCCCGGCAGAGGACAGTACTGTAGCATGTTTTTTTTTTGGGGCGATGGGCAGGGAGACGGAAGGAGGTCCCACTGGTGCCCCCCAGTGGCTCCTCCCGGAACCCTGACCAGACAAAGGGTTGGAGATGGAGATGGGGACACCTGCTTCCAGTCCCATTGGCCGGGTCATGCTTATACCTGCTCAGTCAATCCTCTGGATTCCAGAGTAATCAATGCTGGCAGGCGCCTTCCAGACACCATCCTGTTACTCTTCAATGTATCATTTTGTATCGTACTGCATAAGGGACACTGGACCCGTTTTCCAGCAGGTGATGCTCCCCACCAATAGATGGAGCCTCTCCCCAGGTGCTAGCGATGTCTGCTCACAACAGCATCACTAGCACTGGAGGGACTGTTTGCCAAAAAAAAAAAAAAAAGTCCGGTTCCTAAGATTCATTCTCATTTTGCATGCCATCCACCTATCGGGATGGGAACAGGTGAGCGGCACACAAAATGAAAATGAATCTTCTGCTAGAACATGGAAAGATATACCGTCAGATTCCGGTTCCTATTCGGATCGGGATTGCGAGGGAAGATACACCACCATACTTTCGTCTACAAAACACAAAAAAAAATGGCGGTTTATCTTTCTATGTTCTAAGGGAAGATTCATTCTCATTCTGCACATTTGGTGAGTAGCGAGTCCCATGTCACGATCATTGTCGATTCTCTCTCTCTCTCTCTCTCTCTCTCTCTCTCTCTCTCTCTCTC